ACAGTAGCAACAATCTTGTCTCCTGACTTGTATGAGACAATTGAGACTCTGTTTCAATCACTATGCATCAAGTCTGCCATTACTTGCAGCTCAAAACATTCTTAATTACCATCATGATGAGACAATCACTATTGTACTTTTACATATAATGTATATGACAGAACCAGTCTTCCCTTCCTGATGCAAGTGTTCAGTGGTATATTACTGTACATTTATATCATGTGAACTAATACAAAATCTTTCTCATCTTAGACCAACAGTTTTTCCTCCCTCACTGTACCATCAGGCTGAAATAAGATAGAAAATGAAGTAGAGTCTCACTTTAGCATACACTACTCAAAGGGATTTTGACTGAAGAAGGCTTGGAACTGGGAAAGAATCCTTAGCAGGACCCAGTTGCCTCTGAATTATTTTTTCAGTATGTGTCTTATGTCCATTTTTTGCCACATGGAAAGCAATGGACCAAGTGTATTAAAATTTCTCTCAATTTTTTTTCTTTAGAAGAGACTTCCTAGAAAAGGCAGTGGCTTTCCTAACCAAGGATTAATTTTCAGAACAAAAGGATTTTTTAACAAGTTAGTCATCTGTTGGTGGTCCTATAGTTTCAAACCCAGCAATGGTATGTTAAGATTCTGGTTTTTACTCTGTAGCCACAAGAGGCAAGAATCTGCAAACATGCTGTATATGCCAATGTTATTAGACTATTACCTGATTTAACACCACCAATTGCTATAGCGCCTTCCTTTGGTAGATGTTATTTATTTCTTGGTTGAAACAAATTTACTTTGTACATGCAAAATATATGCCTATCAGAAAAACATAATTTTTCATGCTGTTTTTTTTTGTTTTGTTTTGTTTTTTGTACCAGGAATCAAACCCAGGACCTTGTGCTTATTAGTCAGTCATGGTGCCACTGAGCTAAATCCCCATCCCTTTTTATATTGATTTTTAAAGATATTTGTACAATTCAAAAAATTTACAAGGGAAGGGGAAATAAGGGAAGGAGTCAGAGGAAGGGAGTCAGAGGAAGGAAGTATGCACAATATAAAATACTGGATTTTCAGGTTCATTGAAAAGCATTCATATTCCTGAAATTATAAAAGTACAAATATTTCCTTTTAGGGGTTGATTAGAACTTGCAAAACTTTAGCCTGTGATAGGGTTTTGTCTTCTTAGATGAAGAACTTTACTGTGCTAAAATTTTATACAGTCCTGGCTTTACAGTAAAAGTTCTCAGAACACAATTCAATTATATAAAAGACACTAGTCCCTCAAATATTTTTTTAAGCAAAATTATTATAAAATAAAATTAGAAGCCATCATAGAAACATTGGTAATATTTTGACATTTATCTGTCATTCTTATGCAATAGGAATGTGTAAGATAACATGAGTACCATCATTTACCCACCTGCCTTTTTTGTTCTTTAAATGGTTGAACTGAATTTATTGAAAAGTATAGGAGAACCCAGAGTCCATAGGCATATTTTGTAAAAATAATCAAAATATTGAACAAAAGATGCCAAACTCTATCAAGAGTTCTTGGCGATTTGCTACATTCAGACTAACTTGTGCACAAGTTTGTAACTTGCCCAATTCCATCTAAAGACTACATAATGAAAAACCTTTTGACAAGTTGATTAATAATACTGAGCTGTTAAAGTTCAGCTGAGTGAGCAATTAAACATTCCAAACAGCAATGAACCTTCAGAAGGTAATTTATGATAATTTTATGCACAAGTGCTCAGTGGCTTTTTAATTTGATAGAATGTTAGTAGCACGGATTTCTAACAAGGGAGTGTCAGGGTTCCATACATCACTGAGATTACTTAAACATTTCAAATGTGGCTGATGAATGAAGTTTCTTGAGATGTGGGGAGATACAGAAGGTGTTGGAAGGTTGAGATTATTCATCATATCAATTATTGAGAGTGGATGCCCTGACATCATACTCCCTGATCATATTTTATGTCCACAGTAAAGATAAGTCAAGCTTGAAATAACAGACTTTCCTAACTACAGTATCTGCAGGTAATTCACTCCCTTTACTTGCTCCCCCTTCTTCTTTACACCTTCCTTCAAACTCATTACCACCTCTTTCATTCATACCCAGATTTTTAAATATCCAAACCCCTTATCTTGGAAATTACAGGAAAAAGACTAAGAATAAAGATTAAAAACAAAAGACAACAGGAGTAAGTGAGAATAAACACAAATACAGTGTTAGACTCATAGTCAGAAAGAACTGATGGAGTAATTTCTTTTAGCTCCCATCCTTTTCACCAACACACAGAAACATGCTTTCATTTCATACACACCCATACTCCAAGTACAGAACCCCTCCACCTCATCCCCAGAAATGGCTATCCAGCCCTCTTTTAGCACCTCCATTCTTAAATTAACACATCAGATCTCTGGCAGCCTTTGTCTTTTCAGATCACAGAAAAATGACATGATCTATTCTAAGCAAAAATGAATTCATTCTTGCTGCAATTTCTATCTAGAGCCTTCAAACTTTAAAACCAGGAAAGACCTTGGAGATCATTTTGACTAGCATTCTCACTTTTAGTTCATGGACTTTGTTCACTAAATTATTTATGATTTCTTATTCTATTTTTAAATTTTGATTTAAATGAATTATCCACCTTTAAAAAATTGAACTACTTAACACAAAATCTAGATTTCTAGCTTGAAAAACTAAAAAATTAGAAGCTGTAGAAACACATGTCCACATAAAATTGCCACATTAAATATTTAACGATTGGGGCTTAGTAGCAGCTTTCCATTTAAAAGAGGCACATTTTCTCTAGTTAGTCACAAAGCTCCCCGCTTCAACAGTCTTACATCATGGTAGGTTTGCTCACATATGACACCATGCAAAAATCTAAGTTTGTGATTCTTAGTTTAGATTAACAGAAATGACACCAACTGTAATTCCATGACCAATGTCACCCAGACAGGTGGTAAAAGACCATGATCTTTTCCCTCCATTCAGTGTCTTTTCATTACATTTTAGTTTTAACTTAATTCATGTTTCTTATCAGTTCTATGTTTTCCGTCTTAGTGTAAAAAGGGATGGTATAGTAATTTAATCAAAATACAAGTTATTCTTTTATACCAATTTCCATCCAGTGAAAGTCGAATGAGATAAACCAGACTAAATTTAACATATGAGCAATTATGCATTCTTTGACAAAAAGATATTTTGTTGTCCACTTCTCTCCATCTTTGAGATCAAAATCTTTACTCTGAAATCAAAATAGTCCATTAATCAGCAATCATATCTTGAAGTAACAACAGATATATAAATTGGCTTTATACCTATGTATGACTTCTGCATATTATATGTCTATACACAGAAAATATTAAATGCTGACAAAAAATCAGTTATATTTCTCTGCTGCAAGCACAGAGACTGAGTGCAAAACCATGATGACTGTTTTCCAATGCTTTTATTTCATCAAATTGGTTGGAAAACAAAACCAAACAAATAAACACAAGCTCATCTAGCTATCATCTCTGCAGATGTCATTTCTTGGTAATGTGCTATTATAATTCATGTCAGGTAAACAGCCTTGCAGATGAAATTAGAATTATTCAGGCAAGTTTCTTCATACCACCCTGTAAAGCTGTCTCCTTCACATGGAAAACTTCCACAAAGACTACTTGTTTACAGAGACCATGTGCCTCCTGATTATCTTTTGTGTTTCTCTCTCTTTCTGGTAGCAAGCATATGTTTTTAATGTTAACATTCCCTCATCTATAGAGACCATCTGCTTATGAGAAAGAGTGTTCTCCTCCCTTGTAAATCAGGGTTTTTTTTGCATGGACATTCCTCTCCTACAGTTCCATAGATTCAGGGGAAGGAGAAAAGACTGCGGTCTCCAGGTTCAAACAAAAGAACTGAAGAATGGGAAGTCTTTGTAGGAATGGGAGGTGTTTGTGTGAATCCTAAAAAAGAGGTGTGTCTTATACTCCAAAGCTTGAAGCTTTACTTTTCCTGCTGTCATTGCCAGAATATAAAACCTGATGGTCTTGTCTCTTTGGTATCAGCAGTGTTTAACTCTAGAAATTCAAGTGCTTTATTTTGAATCTGCACCCAATCTCAGGAATTAAAATATGATGATAATGAAATGTAGGTTTCACTGAAGATAACGCATTTATATTTGAAAGTAGAATGAATAGGAATTAATTGTCAGATGAAGTTACAGGTAGAAAGAATAACATGTGCAAAGTCATAGTGAAAGAATTGTGATGTACAGTAGGATAATTTGCTCAATATTTTTAACTTAGGCTTTGTGTATGGGAGAAGCAAGCAACGAGTGAAAGAGAACAGCAGAAAGACAAAATACTGAGCATGAAAAACCTCATAGATGTTTAAGGCCCATTTGGCTGGTAAAATTTGATGCCTCTGGGTGAGAGAGACAAGATCTCAGTCAAGAGATGAAGAAAGTAAAAGATAGTGAGCCTACCTGAACACAAGCGTGCTTAGCTATCATCAGGCTTTTGAGTCTTCACCTATACACAAGCTGCGGCCAAATCTTTGCTCCACACTGCGCAGAAGAGAATGGGCTGAGAGTAAAATTCATAGTGTGATCTGTTGGAATTTTTCCAGAGGAACTTTTCTCCAGAAAGAAACTTCACTATGTAATAGATAATTAGGAATGGGGAATGGATAGTGATGAGTGGTGGGGAGGATGTTAAGAGCAGAAACACCCTTGTTGACTGAACCAACATCCCACTTTGGAAAGAAAGAAGCGGCAGAAGGTGGCACGAAAAGCAAGCTGAGAGCATTCATGCCTGCCCCAAGGACATGAACCAGGAGAGGAAAAGAGAACTATATGTAGTGATGTGCCCAGTTGCTCTCTTAGACAAACATACATTTTTGAGAAAGGGAAAAAAGAACAAGTTAAAACTGTGGGATACCGGCCACAAATTGCATCATGCCAGACTCACAAGACAAAAGGTCACTCTTCTTTTTCTTTTTTTTTTTAAACAGAAGCCACTTAGACTGCATTCCTTCCCCCTTACTCTCTCCAGGGAGAGAGCAAGAACGATCATCAATGGCAAGTAGCAGCCACAGCAAAGTAACACCAAGAGCCAGCTTCACGCTCAGGAAGGAACACTATGCCTCCTCCTCCTCATGGTTTCTGGGACTCTACAAGATCAGAGAAACTTCTCTAGTCACTAACTGTAGAAATGATCCCTGAAAATATAGCCTCAGGTCACTCTTCTTTTTTTATGTCAGTATGTACATTTATTTTATTCTTTTATTTTTATGCAAATGCAATATGTGAAGATATTAAGAAAGTATAAAATACTCTTCTATAAAAACAAAATGTCATAATAAAATAGAGAATAACATTGGTTAATACACTGTGTCATAATCTGAAGAGTAGCCAAAATGTTAGAGTACAAGTTGTAGACAAAAAAAGACTCTTACAAAAAGAAACAGATAACAGCATAAAACTTTACTTTCAATGAAGTAATAGAAGGATTAGTCTCCTAACTGAAATCTTTTGTCCCTTCTTCCCTCCACTTGCCTTCTCTAACCTGGTAGTCCAGTACCACTGCCCACCAGGTGTCTAAACCCAGAAACATGGTTTTCATCCTTTTCTCAGCCCCTGATGTTACTCCCTTGCTTAATATTCCTCAAAGTTTCAGTGCATTTGCACTGCACTTACAGGGAAATCCACATTTCTGACCATGGTCTATATTAGCTTGCTTATACAGTTTGATCTCGCCTATGCCTAGAGCCTCAGCTGATATCCTCTTTTCTGTATTCATCTCGTTTTATTTAAACTTCTAGTGCCAGCTAAGCAGTTTTCTTCTGATGGCCTTTGTCACTATTCCCTGTGTCCGTTTTTCACTGCCCCTAGTTCTATGTTTGCTTGTCTTCAGCACATTAAGCCAAGTATCCTCTTTCTCCCCATCTAAAGGAGTTCTCATTCCACTCTACTGCAACAAATCACACATCAAAAAAAAAAAAATCAAAGCAACCTATTGTATTTTCTTCACAGAGTTTATCAAAGGCTTGACTTGTTTACCAATTTTCTCACTTGTTTATTGTCTGTCCCTCCCATTAGTAAGCAGGAAAAATGCCACTTTATCCACACTAAGTTGCCAGTGACCTAGCCTAGCCTTGCTCTTGATAGACATACACTTACTCTTTTTTGAGCATATATTGAATCACTGAACAATATCCAAGGCACTTTTTCATGCTTAGAACCTACCACCCTTAATCAAAATAAAAAGGAGAAAAAGAAGATAACAGACTTGGACCGCCACCTAGTAAAACACAGAGCACGGTCAAACAAACCACTAAGGAGAAGGATTCTTAACCTTTGCTTTGAATGTCCATCTAAATTTTCAAACTACAGCCAAGAAACTAAGGGATAATGGAGACTTGTACTTGGTCCATTTAAGGCCTTCCCTTCTAACTCCCAGAACTTCTCTCCTGCTGTCTCTAGTGTTTCATAGACATCAGCTTGATATTCCTTGAACATGGCTCAGAACCAAAACTGGGCCTGCTGGTGAATTTCTCATAGCTCCAGGCTAAACATCTTTAGTTATTTGACAATCAATATGCACAAATGTAATTATTTGTTTTCTAGGAGTTAGATGAACAAGATCATTCTAAATTCTTGTGTTATTAATACATGGTAATGAAAGTGAAATATTAATGACTTAGTTAACTGTATTAAGAATTTGAAGTGCTGTGCAAACTGAAAACTTGCATCTTGGAAGGGGAAGAAAGCTCACATGTACCAGATGGCTTGGTGACAGCCATTTTATTTAGTGCAGTCTCAGCAGATATGTTTGATAGCCTTCAGGAAAGGCCATCAACTATGCAAGGGAGGGTGCTGTACCTGTTTGTCTGGGAGAGCTGTGCCCAAGTAATCAAGTGGTTGGAAGCAAGTTGCTTTCTTTGTGTCTCAAGTATATGTAGCCCTGCATGAGATATTGGGGCACCTTGGGCCATCAGTGAAGAGCAGTGGCAAAATCTTGTGGTTTACCACTTCCCCTGCACTGAGCCGTTAAATCTATGACTTGCCTAGCATAACAATTTTTATACGTCTTAAGCTGATGACTGAGTTAAAATGTAAGTCCCAGGATAACAGCAGAAAAGCACTCCAGCCAGCCCAACCACAGAGGAGTCTGAGCAAGCACTGCTAAAACTTTGTGTTGAAGTTTCCTCATTTGCACCCAGAAGGCAATGAAATCTACCTCTCTGCCTTTCTGGGATTGCTGAAAAGGTTAGAAGACATAAAACTGAATGATTCACAAGCAAGTTATGGTGAAAGCAAAGGTTGAAATTGCTTTAAGTCTGAATTTACTTTCTTGACTCTTGTTACATTTTTGTGACTAGCTTATTCATACTTATGCTTGAGGCACATTACTCAACAATTGTTTCTCTTTTTAATAAATGTTTATTCAAAGACCGTCCTGTATTTCTGGCTGACTGACAAACTAGGAATATATATATGTAAGTACAGGGGTGTGTAGGTGTGGATATAGTCTGTCATTTTTGTGTATTTCTTTCATTATTCTGCTTGATAATTTCAACATTAGTTAAGTAGAGGTAAAATGACAGAAGATACAGATTGATACACTCACTTTACTTCCATTAAAGAAAACCAATTAACATTTTCAATTTTCCCTCACCTGACACAATAGCTAAGTATCTACTAGACATAATCCTCAACCTCCATACAGGATCTGGAATGCTGATATGCTCCAGAGCAAATGGAAAGAATTGGCACAGGACATGGCAGAAAAAATGAAATTCCACAGAGATTGGAACATAACAATGACTGGAAAAATAATTTCTATATTTTCAATAAGGAAAACAGTCCCCTTCCTTGGAATCTCTTTGTTACTTTCCTATTAACTCTGTGGAAAAAATATGCCATTAAGAATAAACAGGAGGGATGGGGATTTAGCTCAGTGGTTCCAGAGCCTGCCTCACAAGCGAAAGAGCCCAAGTTCGATCCCCAGTACAAAAAAAAAAAAAAAAAAAAAA